ACTGCTTCTTGGTCCAAGTACAGGTTTCACATTAGCACGATCAAGTGTTCTGGGATTCCCATTCTTCTCAGAGTCAGCCACAGTTTGTTATGATCCACATAGTCAAATGCCTTTGCATAATCAATGAAACACAGATAGACATTCCTCTGGTGTTCCCTGCTTTCAGCTAAGATCCATCTAACATTAGCTACAATGAGTAGTACACTTAGTAGTGGTACAATTAGTACCACGATTCCTTCTAAACCCAGCCTGGACTTCTGGCAGTTCTCTGCTGATGTGTTGGACAATCTTTAGTAGACTCTTGCTTGCATGTGAAATCAATGATATTGTTCTATAGCTTCCAAACTCTGTTGGTTCACCTTTCTTTGGAATGGGAACAAATATAGATCTCTTCCAGTTAGTTGGCCAAGTGGTTGTTCTCCAGATTCCTTGGCACATGTTGGTGAGCACATCCAGGGCAGCATCTGTTAGCTGAAATATGTCAGTTGGTATACCATCTATTTCCGGGGCCTTATTTTTTGCTATTTCCTTCAAATCAGCCTGAACTTTTTCCTTCATCATCATGGGCTCTTGCTCATATGTTGTTTCATTAAATTCTTCTGAGTCTGCCAATTCCTTTTGATACAACGACTCAGTATATTTGTTCCATCTTCATTTAATACTTCCTGAATCATTTAATATTCTGTCCAAAGCACCCTTGATTATATTTAGGAATAGGTTTACTTTATTATGTCATTGAGGCTGTATTAATGTTGAAGTACATCTTAAATCACTCTCTCTTGTTATGTAAGAGGGTTTAAGCAAGCAAATAAAAAAGTAGACATGGGAAGGTTGATTCCATTCACATGGAAATCACCAAGGAATCAAAGAACCGAAAGTCAATAAAGAGAAAAGCTTTCCCTACAGCTGGCACCCTGAATTCAGGCTGTGAGGGAAAAAAATGTTCATATCTTAAAATCACTCACCTAAGATTACTGTCATGGCCAAACTAGATACCTAAGAAATTGCCTAATTTTTAGAAAAGTGTAGATTTTCTTATTACCTTGCATGTGAAAAATCCTGCCATTAGAGTCAGCAAACTGTGAATTTTGGAGGTCAGTTGAGCTCTTTTCTCATGCGGATGACTTAGGCTCACTTCTCCATGTGGTAAGCAATTCAGGCCTAAATTAGAAGGCCTTATCTTTGCACCCTATAAATCAGATTTTTTAGAGTTAAGAGTTAAGATTACCTTTTAAGTAAAAGGTTGAAGAAAAATTCCAAACCCTTAAAAATGTTGGGCAATGGTCCTCAAATTTTTTTAACTCAGGATCCCATTATTTTAAAATTATTGAGAACCCCAAAAAGCTTCTGATTAAGTAGATTATATCTCAGTATATTGTTATACTAGAAATTTCAACTGAGAAAAATTAACATATAATGCATTTCATGCCTTTTAATATTTAAAACCTTGACAGTTTCTAAGAAAGAACCATCAAATCAATTTAATAGTATTTTTACAATGAACTTCCTCAGGTTTGGTTTGTGTGTTTTTTCCCTTTTAATAATTTTAATGAACATTTAAAGAGAATTTGGATTTCCATTCATTCATTGCTGCACTTCTCTACCTGCCCAGCCCTCTCCCCCCACCCCCTAACCTCAGGTCTTTTTAATGCCTTGTTTTGGTTTTGTGTTTTTATTTTTGCTACATTTCTATATGTTGTACAGGAATTTTTGCTCTCTTGTAATTGTGCCTCAGACTTCTTGAAAGTCCACCTTCTAAATTGCCCAGATCAGATGATATACTTTCTACATGATATATTCTTGTGCTTTCTGTATTTAAAACTTTGACTGTATTAAGCAAATTCAAGGTTATAAGTTTAGCTAATAGTGATTTACAGACAATTCAGATGAGTATGGTTCTTCTGGTAACTAAACTGTACTAGTTCATTTAATAAGTAAATGATGCTGTAAACAATGTAAATAAAGCCTGTTAGTCAAGCATCAAAAAAAGAAAAATGATCAGATTAATAAAATTAATCAGATAAAGAAAAAAACCTAAAGCCAATCTGATAAAATTAATAAGATGAAGGAAATTGTCTTTATAGGACAAAAAACGTGAATGTTGCAAAAACGTAAGGGCATTTTTCTAATTATCAATATAAATGGTATATATAATAATATGCATTATAAAATTTATTGCTGTTGTTAAGTGCCATCAAGTATGACTCATAGTAACCCTCTGAACAACCGATCTGAACCATGTTCTATCCTCATCAACTCTGATACACTCAAGCCCATAGCTTAAAGGGGCCTAAATATCCATGACAAGACTATTAGAAATTACTCAAGCTTTACATCAGATATTATGATTTGCATCAATACCTTTGTAGTATCTGACTCCATAACTTCTTCCAATTGTTCCTTTAACTCCACTATCCCAACTTTAGGGACATGCTCTTGCTGCTCACTCCTTATAACCTGCTGCTGAAGTTTTGCATTTTCCCTTTTTAGTTCATTGATCTGCTGTTGAAGTTTCACATTCTTAGCTCTTTCATTTTCAGAGATGAATTGCAAATTTTTAACTTGCACTACTAGTTTCTCAAGACTAGATTTCAGCTTTTGTCTCTCTTGCCAATTTTGCTTCTCATGTATCTGGAATTCCTTCTGTAAAGACAGGAACTCTTGTTCTCGGGTCTCTTTTTCCCTTTTCAACAGGTCTAGAGCAGAAGCGGTGGCCTTTTCTAATTCTTCTTTGAGTTGCTGCAGCCTCTTTATCTCTTCTTTTTTCTTGCTTAAAATTTTGTCCATTTCAATGCACTGACTTACAGAAATATTTTTTTGCTGCACTTCTGTTAGGTACTTTTCATGTAGATTCACACAATTGACCTTGATCTTCTTAAGCTCTAGCTGCAAGGTTTTCTTTTCATTTCTGGATTCCTGAAGATGTTTTTGGGTATTAGATAAAACTTCCTGCACACTTGTCAATGTTCTGTCAGCATCATTCTTCTCTAGAATTACTTTGTATTTATCTTCAATCAACTGTTCTATATTCTCTTTCAGTTTGTTAATGTCTTCAACTAGCACCTGCTGTGCAGTAATCTTCATCTGTAATTCTTCAACCTTCTTCTCTAAGTGCCTGTTACCACACTGCAGATCCTGGATTTGAGTTTGCTGCATTTTGTTGGTATGTTTTAATTTCTGTAAAACTTCACTTAAAGCCGTATCTTCCTCCAGAGATTGTACATTATCAAAGCTTGTTTCTGTGTTAGAGGTCTTGCTGTTCTCTTGTGATCCTCCACTGCTGCATAAATCTGCAGGGGACCAAGTTGAGAAGATGTCCCGACTCTCTATGGTTCCAACTCTGACTGCTTCTGGGTAGTTAACTGGCACCTCAGAATTCTGCATATCATTTGGTGAAACAGCACTCTGTAAATGATAGTAAAGTAAATAAGTGGGAACAAGTTGAAAGATCATTAGGTTTGAGTCAAATCCCAAGTTTAGTTTCCTTAGCCACAAAATAACTTTCACAATAAAAAATAATGGCAGGAGTTTTCTAGGAGTTACTTGGTAAATGTACACAAAGCACCTAACAGCATAGTATATAGTACACCACAAGCAATAGGGATATGAGGAAATAGGAACCTGAAAAGCATATGTACTTTTAAAGGAAAATGAATCTCTAGTGCTCGCTCTCACCATTGGTTTTCTATGATAGAAAACTTTTCTGAACATAATATAAGATGAATTAAATGAAATTATTATTCCATAATGCCTTTTGAAGAATGCTTTTATTTTTAAAAAAGTAAATCACAAAAAACTTGGCCTATGACTGATTGACTTTATGCTGACTAATGCTTTTTAGAGTTTTAAAACAGGTACAGCATATTATGGCAAAACAACATTGAAACATATATGACATAAAACTCAGTCAACTGTATATGTAAGTTCACTACATAACCTTTCAGAACTTAAAGACACCAAATCCCTGTATTTTGATGAATTATTCTTATTGAAGAAGCATATGCTACTTAAGTGTGCTGTAAACCCCAAACTCTGGGATTCAGATCCACCAGCAGCTCCTCAGGAGGACAGCCAATCTCCTCCCATACAATTCACAATGTCTGAAAGCCTCCCAGAGGGTTGACTATAAGTCAATTCCAACTCACTGGCACATAACAAAAAATATTTTGATGCTTGTTGCAAAGTAATGCCTGTTTGTTCTTATGAACCATTGTATCTACCTTAGATTTTTATTTTTAATATAATAAATTTTACCTGGGTTGGTTTGTAATTGTAAATTGTATATTCACAACTGGAGGAATATCAATATCCTATTTAGACTCCCATTGTTCATGTAAGTTGTAGTCACAGCACTTGGCACAGGTGCAAGTATACACTTAACTGTGCAATTATCTAGTTAATGTAAAAAACCTTTAGGGAAATGTTATCTTTAGGAAGACAAGAAATATCCTTACTAACCTATCTAGATTACAGGGCTTGGTACAAAGTGGATGCCTGAAAATATTTATCAACTGAATAATGGGAAAGAAATGCAATGAAGAGAGGAAAAAGCAATCCTGAGAAACCCTATTGTTAGTGTTATATAACCGTAGAGTTAAAACTGACTCAGCTGAACATCCGTCAGGTTTTCAGAGGCAGTAAATTGCATGGGAGGAGAATGTCCATCTTGCTCCTATGAAGCAGCTGGTAGATTCAAAGCATGTGCCTTTGGGTTGGCAGTGCAACTTTCTACTACTAAGCCACCAGAATATTAATCACACAGTAAAAGGAAATAAAGTTCTTTTAAATGCTGCTATATATCAACAAAGAAATGGAAAAAATTGTTCATAGTTATAAAATGAACACAATGATCATAGATTTTACCCTCAAACGCATAATAAAAAAGTTAGGATTTATGCCATTATATCTACTTGTCCATACTAGAATTTTTTTTTTTTCTCTCAGAGTATGTAAGAGTTATTTTGTTGGCATCTTCAGGGCTCTTAGAAAAATACATGTGTGCCCAGTTTCCATGTTGTTGTCATAGTGAATAATGCTGCTTTGAACATTGGTGTACACATCTCCATTTGAGCCTCAGTTAATCATTTTATTGGGGTATATTCCAAGATATAGAATAGCTAGGTCATATCAAATTTCTATGTTCAGCTTTTTGAGGAAGCATCAAATTGCCTTCCAGAGTGGTTGTACCACTTTACAATCCCACCAACAATGTATGAGTTCCTATCTTGCCACATTCACTCTGACATTTATTACTTGCTGTCTTGTTAAACTTTGCCACTGCTACTGGAGTGAGATGGTATCTCATTGTGGTTTTGATTTGCATCTCTCTTATTACCAGTGGTCTTGAACATTTCATCATGTATCTGTTGGCCATTCAGATATCTTCCTTTGTGAAAATTCTTTCCATGTATTTTGCCCATTTTGTAATTGTGTTATCAATCTTTTTCTTGTGCAGGCCCAAGAGTATTCTGTAAACTTTCATTATAAGACTCTTGTCTAAGATGGTATTGTCAAATATTTGTTCCCAGTCAGTAGGTTTTCTTTTCACCCTGTTGAAAAAAAAGTTTTTATGTGCACAAGGATTTAATCTTTAGAAGGGTCCCATTCACCAATTTTATCCTCTTCAGATTGAGAATTTCTTTCCGTATTTGGCAGTCTCTTTCTACCATAGACTAGACTTTCTAAGGTTGGTCCCAGTGTGTCTCTTATGAACACTATGGTTTGGGGCTTTAATCCCAGGTATCAACCTTGAGGTGATATTTGAGTATGGTATGAGATGTGAATCCTGTTTCAGTTTTCTGCAGGTAGCAATCCTGTTTTGCCAGCACCATTTGTTGAAGAGGTTGTCATTTCCCCATTTGATAGGTTTTATTTCCTCATTGAGTATCAGTAGACCATAGATAGTTGGGTCTATTTCTGGGTTCTCAATTCCATTCCATTGGTCTATGTGCCCATCATTGTACCAGTACCATGCTGTTTTGGTTACTGCCACTGTGTAGTAGGTTTTGGGATCAAGGAGTGCTATGCTTCCCACTTCATTTTTGTTTCTCAGAAGTTCAAACCTATTCTTGAGATGATTTTTAAAGTCAGGTGGGATAGACTCAAAGTTGTATTTGGGTTCTTGTGAATTTGTTTTAATTTTCTTCAGTTTCAATTTGAAATTGTGCAAGAGTAATTGATAGTCTGTTCCACAGTCAGCACCTGGCCTAGTTTTGACTGATTATATCGAGCTTCTCCAACGATTCTTTCTAAAAATATACTTGGTCTGATGCCTCACATAGGTGAGGCCTATATGCGTAGTCACTGTTTCTGGGTTCCCTCCCATCCCTGGGGAAAAAATAAAGATATTTATTATAAATAAATAAATAAATAAATAAATAAATAAATAATTCATTGCACAGAATTCAATCATTCAATCTCCAGCCTCATTTCTGTTACCAAGTCTGTAATTTCTGGCTACCAATCCTTTTGCAGGGAGCTATGAGGTCCTTGTGGTAAAAAACTGTGCTGTAATCCCAAAGGCACAAAGTTTTAATCCATCAGCTGCTCTGAGGGAAAAAGATGAGTAACCTCCTGTGTAAAAACTCACTGGAGAGTCCACTATGGGTTCATTCTAATTTGGTAGTAAACAACAATAACAACATCCTTCTTAATTTCCTTCTTTTGCATTCCAGTCACCAACTCTGTTAATCATACTGATTGCATGTCCAGTTAATTTCAGACTGCAAAAATTGGTAGATTTCCCCATCTTTAGTTTTAGTTGTTAATACATATGTTTGAATAATAGTTGTATGAACAGGCCTTACTTGTGTGTGTATGGAAAGTATTCTATCACTCATAGCACTGTTCAGTATAGATCTTGAAGTGGTCCTTTTGACTATAAATGCAACACCATTCTTTCTCAATTTTTCATTCCTGGCATAATAGGTCTTGTGATTGTCTGATTCAAAGTGGCTAATATTAGTTACTTTCAGCTCACTAACGCCAAAAATGACAATATTTATGCATTTCAAGTTTTAAAGCTTCTGGTTTTCCCAGATTAATAACTTAAACATTCTATGTTCACTTTTTACTGATGTTTACAACTTTTTCTCCTCATCTTGAGTGACTTCTAATCTGGCCTCTACCTCCAATATTATATCTAACAGTGTTTCTCTGTTGTTCATAGGAACTTGCACATTATCTCCTCCACTGTGTCACTGGTGCCATTGGCCTCAGCCAGGGCCAAAGAGCTACCACTTGCCATGATATTTGTAAACCTGTTTCTTTTATGGTCTACTCTGAGAAGTACACCACTCATTTGCCAGTTTTTGTGTGTGTGTGTGTGTGTGTTGGGAGAGTGATTTGCATAGTGTTACTTATTTTATAATTTAGGTGTGTATATATGTTTGCTTGTTAGTTGTTTGCTCCTATGAGTGTAGTACTTGTTTGTCAGTTTGCTGTACTGGGTTGATCCAGAGTTTCAATTGCCAGCAGGGTTATCCATAATTTTAACAGAAGTATGAGATTAAGACAGACTAGGAATTAGGATTTCCCATCCATTTCTAAAATACAGGCCCTTGAAAAACTTAGGAACAATAGAAGAACACTGCTACATAGTGTAGCTAGACCCCTCTTCTTTGGAAGCCACTCAGAAAATATAGAAGCTTATTTTATTTATGACATCAGATGGACACTACAGTGTATAAAAACATGAAATGCAGTCGTGATCCTCAAAGAGATTATAATATAGTAACAGCTAGTCCCCAATTTTAAACTGGGTTGTATTAGTAAAAAGTTTTTTTAACAGATTACCATTTCAGAAAGGATTCTTGGAATTCACAGAAGCAATGTCACATGTATGAGTAGTTGATGTTTCACACTACCTGGAAAAGATGCATAACCTCCTTCCAGATGAATTATAGCCTCAGAAATCTGAATGGATGATCATGTCACTTCAGATTCGATGTCAACAAGTGTGTGTGAACAGAATAGTTTTAGGTGATATATTAAAAAAAAAAACAAAACCCACCTGACCCCACACTCCCTATCTTTAATAATCCACAGGTTTTACTATAAAAGACTTACCTCCACTTCACAGTTAAAGTTATGATCAAGCAGATTACAGCTAGTCTCTTTATTAAATGATTCCTCAGCATCACTGTATTCAACACACTCCCTATACAAGTAGCTCTGAGGATGAGTAGGACTGAGGGCAGCAGCTTCTTTGGCAGCATTTTTAGCCAGTGGCTTTTCCATGATGCTCAGTTTCTCTTCACAGCAGTAGGTCAGAGGTGGACTAATTTCCACTGGATTTTGTCCCTTAAACAAATCTTTACTTTTATTGCAATCTTTTTCATAATTACACATTTGACTTTGTAATTCTGGCTTTTCTGTATAATATAGTTCTTCTATAGGTTTTTTAAATGTTGTAAGTTCATCATTAAAGGCTTCAGTCCAATGAAATTGACAAGTGGACTCAAACTGCTTCAAGGACGTCATACTGGCACCAATGATTAGTACATTCTGTGAGTATTTTTCAATGTTGAGATCTTGCCAGAAATAGATAGAAGGAAACAAACAAAAAATTAGAGTTAAATTATATGTTAACTATATTATTTCTAGTTGTATGTTGTTAATATATTGGTATGCTATTGATTTTTTTATATTGCACCTATCCATCATTTTTCTAAACAATTTTAGTTCTAGTATCATAAAAATTTCTTATGTAAACAATCATTATGTTATGCATCAGAGAGTTGGACAATGACCAAGGAGGACAGAAGGAGAATTGATGCCTTCAAGCTGTGGTGCTAGAGAAGAGTATTAACAATACCATGGACTGCTAGCAAAACAAACAAATTCATCCTGAAAAGGGTTAAACTGGGTGGTTCCTTGGAGGCAAGGATTCTGAGGCTCCGTCTAACATACTTTGTACATGTTGTGAGGAGAGACCGGTCCTTGGAGAAGGACATCATGCTTGGGAGGGTGGAGGGACGGCGCAGGAGGGGAAGGCCCTCTATGAGGTGGATTGATTCAGTGACTGGGATAATTGGGATGGGAGTGTCAGAGACAGTGCGATTGACACAGGACAGAGCGGAGTTTAGGGCTGTTGTACATAGGGTCGCTGTGAGTCACAAGTGACTCGACGGCACATAACAACAACAACAGACAATCATATGATTTAAAAGTAACTACTGTTTTTCCTCTTTTCTAATAATATATGTATTTTTATACATATATATGTCCATTATTTTAACAAAGCTTGAAAAAATATTTTCATTTAACTGTGGCTGACTCTGAGAAGAATAGGAATCCCAGAACACCTGATTGTGCTTATGCAAAACCTATACTTGAACCAGGAGGCAGTGGTCAGAACAGAGCAAGGAAACACTGCATGGTTCAAAACTGGGAAAAGTGTATGCCAGGAATGGATCCTATCTCCATACCCTTTCAATATATATGCAGATCAGAATACCCAGGAAGCTGGGCTCTATGAGGAGAAAGGTGGCATCAGGATTGGAGGAAGACTCATCAACAATCTGTGCTATGCAGATAACACAACCTTGCTTGCTGAAACTGAGGAGGACATGAAGTGCTTGCTGAAGAAGGTCAAGGACTGCAGTCTTCAATATGGATTGAACCTCAATATCAAGAAAACAAAAATTCCCACCACTGGGCTGATTGGCAGCATCATGATAGATGGTGAAGACATTGAAATTGTTAAAAGCTTCAGTTTGATTGGCTCTACTATCAATACTCTTGGCACCAGCAGTCAGGAAATTAAAAGAGGTACTATATTGGGAAAATCTGCTGTCAGAGACCTCTCCAAAGTACTGAAGAGCAATGATGTCAGTCTGGTGACTAAGGTGTGCCTGATACAGGCCATGGTCTTTGCAATCACTTGCCATGCATCAGAGAACTGGACAACGACTAGGCATAATTGAAGGAAAATTGATGCCTTTAAACTGTGTTGTTAGAATATTGAATATACCATGGACTGCTATGAGAGCAAACAGGTTCGTCCTGGAGAAGGTGAAACCAGGCTTCTTCTTGGAGGCAAGGATTCTGAAGCTTTGTCGGACATACTTATACTTAAGTCCTTTGAGAGGGATGTCATGCTTGAGAAGGTGGAGGGACAGTACAGGAGAGGAAGATCCTGGATGAGATGGATTGATTCAGTGACTGGGGTAATGGGGGTAGGTGTGTCAGAGATAGTGAGATTAGCACAGGATAGAGCAGGGTTTGGGGCTGTTGTACATAGGGTCACTATGAGTTACAGGAGACTTGATGGCATGTTAACAACCACAACCACAGCAAAAAAATTTTTTATAATTATCATAAATACTAACACCCCCACTCCTTATTATCATAAAATTGGATCGACTCATAGCTGAAACTCCAGTGAGGCTGTACATCTCAAGGGAAGAGACCTGCTTGTCTTTCTCCCTCAGAGCTGCCGGTGGATTCAAACCAGTTGCCTTTAGGTTAGCAGCACAACTCTCTACAGACTATGCCATGAGAACTCTCTAATTATAAATAAAGACATTTCTATATAGTATTTAAAATTGCTTTAATAAACATTATCAATGTGTTTTATTATATTATTAACTCATAAATTTTGATCTATCAGTTTAAGAGTAGAATAAGAGGGTTTTTTTTTTTGACATCATGACTTATTTTCTAAGTCAATTGTATAGAATAAAGTCCTAATGTCACAAAGTGAGACTGGAATTCCAACTAATTCACAGATATTAAACCTTGGCAAATTACTCTCTAATCCTTACATTAAAACATATCCTTATCTAGAATAACTAGTAAAACATTTATGGAGACCCAAGTTGGAGAGGAGTGGGAGCAGAGAGGTGAGGATGGGTAGGAGTGAAAGTATAGGGTTGTATAATTTGGTTAGTGGATGGAGGGGAAGAAGAAAATGGGAAGGATACAGTGGGTACCTGAAAAGACAGGGTAATTGGGCAAGGTCCAATAACGCATGGGAATGATTGTATGAAATACAGTGTGAATAAAGAATTGTGTGAAATACAATGTATATGAACATTGTAAGCAAACCAATAATTTTTTTTCTTAAGCTTTATTTTTTTTAATGATTTTAATGAGGATTTACAGAGATTTTGGATTTCCATTCATTCATTGCTGCAATTCTCTCCCCACCCAGCTCTCCCCCAACCCCCAGTTCGCTCCTCTCTTTCAAAAGTAAAAGAAACACTCCGTCCCTGGTACACAATCCCCCTGCACCCCTCCCGCTGCCCCAAGTACATTCCACTATGCACCCTTAATTGTGGACTCTTGTGGTAACCATAATACCCTATCATACATCGCTTTTAAATTATTTACTCCCTCATCTGTTTCAGTGCAGTATATACAATTTATCCAGTTTCTCTCAGTCTTACCCCAACCCTGATATCAGTCCCATTTTACAACAGTGGCTCCATGCAATATTTGTCCTTTTGCGACTGAGATATTTCACTCAGCATAATGTCCTCCAGTGTC